AGACTGGATTACCCACTTTGCCAATTTCTTTCTTGGTTCTTGTCTTGCAAATTTGATGAATAAAATCCATGGACAAGAGCTAGGATTGTAGTAGGATTGTAGTAGAGCMCTTGCCTGATATGTGTGAGGCACTGGGTTTATTAGGTCTATTAACAACTAATAAAGGTCTATTAACAACTAAAAAGTATTTTTTAAAAAAAATCCACAGATAATCAAAAAGGAAGATTAAACAGAGGAGGATTTATTTAAGTGAGAAGAGATAGAACTCCCACCATGTGGGAGGGACCTGGATAGCAGAAAAACTACTCCATTTATTTTTATTTATTTATTTATTTTGAGAGAGAGAGAGAGAGAGAGAGAGAGAGAGAGAGAGAGAGAGAGAGAGAGAGAGANTTTATTTATTTTGAGAGAGAGAGAGAGAGAGAGAGAGAGAGAGAGAGAGAGAGAGAGAGATTTTTTTAATATTTATTTTTCAGTTCTCGGCGGACACAACATCTTTGTTTGTATGTGGTGCTGAGGATTGAACCCGGGCCGCACGCATGCCAGGTGAGCGTGCTACCGCTTGAGCCACATCCCCAGCCCCAACTCCATTTATTTTTAAAAAGTCATTTTTGTTTGCTGTATAAATTGAATTCTTTTATTATTGCCTTTTAGGATTGTTCATTGCTAGTGTACAGCAATACAACTGCTTTTGTATATTGTTCTTATATCCTGCAAACTTGTTGATATATATTAGTTTTAGTGTGTATGGTATGTGTATTCCTTAGAATTTTATGCATACAAAATCATGTCATTTGCAAATAGCATTTACTTTTTCCTTTCCAATCTGGATGCTTTTTCTTTCCCTTGCCTAATTGTCCTGAGTGAACAATGTCAACTAGAAGTGATGAGAACAGACATCTTGTTTTGTTCTTATGAAGTATTTAGGGGGAGAGAATATCGAGTATGATAGGTGGAGAATTTGTTGTTTTTTGTAGATGCTCTTCATCAGGTTGAAGAAGTTTCCTTCTATTCCAAATTTTTTGAGCATTTTTACCATGAAAAGAATTTTATCAAATTCTTTTTCTGTGATCAAGATAGCCATGCAGTTTTTGTCCTTTAGTCTGTTACTATGACTTATTACATTGCTTGATTTGGGGATGTTAAACCAGCCTTGTACTTCAGATTGCAAATAAGCAATTATAACATCTGCCACTTAATACCTAAAGCAAGCACAAATCTTGCTCCAAATATCTTTACATTCTCTTGAGTTATAACACCTAATGTTTCCCAAAAGTCCCCCCAAATTTTAAAATTTCTAAAAAATAATAACTGTCCCCCAGTAAATCTAATATCTCACAAAAACTGGAGTTCAGGAATATAAGAGGAAAGCAAGGTCTCTTTCTGATAAATTTTCCTATGGTAGAGAAAAATAGTATGCAGCATACTTTAATCAGCATTCAATGGATTGAATGAGAGATGACTGGATTGAGGAATCTCAGGCACCAAGAGAATCAAATCAGAAATTGTATTGTTATAGAATAAACCATTAACAGATTTTAAGCACTTACTAGTATGAAATACTATTAGAAAGATACAAACATTAGGTCCCTGTTCTCATGGAAACATACTACCCTAGATTAAAATATAATATAGTGAATGAAATGCAACTCAGGGATTTAATTGTTCCATAGTGTTACAGTTTAACTATTCTGAAATGTTAATGCTGATTAAAAAGTACTGTGTTCTGCAGAAGCTGAGTTTATTATGCAGGGGCAGGGGAGGTGGAGAGAGAAAGCACATATGGCAAATTAACAGCTGTGGAATCTGCCGCAGCCGGCTGGCTGGGCAAAATAGTTGGGGGGTAACGAACAACTTGTGTACATGGATACAGCAGAAGTGGGAGCCCTTTATTGTAGGACAACAGAGGTATTTATACATTTCACACAGCTTATCTTAATTAACATAAACTCGATACAGCAGTCAACCAATTAGGAATCTCCACACTTAATGGCTGGCTGGCGTACTTCACAAAGCACTCCCTCTGGCAAAATGCCAGGCACCATCCAGACTTGTTTACAGACTCTAACATTTGCCAGGCGCCATCCTGACTTGTTTACAGACTCTAAAGGATCTAGATATGTATTAAAATCTTCATAACAAAAAATGAAAAAAAAAAGAAATTTTTAAAATTTTTTAACTTTCTCTTACATTTTATTCCTAGGCATCTGATAGAACAATGATGCCAATATACGTGGTTATACATGGATTGCTTTAAAAAAAACAGCTTTATTGAGTTATCATTAATATACAATAAACTGAATGTTTAAAATGTACAATTTGTTTTTACATTTGTACAGATCATTATAAAATTTTCATTTTCTAACTTTTTGCTAGATAATGGAACCCAATTTTTGTACAATGACTTTGTATCCAGCAACATTTGGTCACTTATTAATTCTAAAAGAGTTTTTAGATTTTCTTCATATAATCATGATGTCTATCTTCCTTTTCCAATCCTTAAATTTTTCATTCTGCCTTACTGTACTTGCTAAGACTGCCAGTAAAATGAACAGAATGGTAATACTGGGCATCCTTGTCTCAATTTTAGTCTATGGAGAAAACTGATTACAATTTCATCATTAAATCTGATATTTGCTCCAACCAGGCAATAAAATCCTACATGAAAACTTCTTTGTCTAAACTGGTCAAAAAATTCTGGACAAGCCAGGTGCAGTGGCACATACCTGTAATCCCAGTGACTTAGGAGGCTAAGGCAGGAGAATTGCAAGTTTGAGACCAGCCTTAGCAAGTACTTCAAGTACTTCTGGGTTTAATCCCCACTACTCACCCCCACCAGTCCCCCACACAAAATGCTGGACTGACTCAATATCAGATAGAAGTAACTGTTGGGGTTAGTTGAGGCATGAGTCTGAGATGTCTAAGTTGGAAAAACTGGCATAGTGACCAAAAAAAAGTACTTGATATACTAGTGTGTAAGGGATGGGAAAAATGAATTCACACCAGAAAGTGATATCATGTTATTACTTTGGGGATACAATTTAAGATAACCAACAGAATTACAGAAATGATAAAAATGTCCCAAAGATACAGCTATTTTAAGCTATTACTTTTTTTTTTTTCTTTTTGGTACTGGAGATTGAACCCAGGGGCACTGAGCCATACCCCAACCGTTTTTTTGTATTTTATTTAGAAATGTGGTCTTGCTGAGTTGCTTAGCCCCTCACTAAATTGCTAAACCTGACTTTGATCTTGCAATCCTCCTGCCTCAGCCTCCAGACCTGCTGAGAGTATACCACCATGCCCAGCTTAAGCTATTATTTAATAGAATTTTTTTTTGTTAGAATGTATAGTGTTGTATTGCATTCATGGAGAAGATAAAAAATTGAAAAGCAACAGTGGACTGCCTGCCTTTTCTTGAGGTATTGCATAAAGGATATAGAAAAGTTAAAAATGAAAGGTGACTGTTATTACTAATTTGTCTCTATTTTAAAAATGTATAATGGTTAAAACACATGATGTTAAAGCTGAAAGGAATTTACAAATGCAGAAACTGAATTAGTCAGGATCCTGACAGGGAAATTTCAAAGACTTTTAATAAAGAACTATATACAAAAGAATGAGCATGGTTTAAGAAAACCAACAAGGAATAAATAGTGTAGTATGCCACCTAGCCTAGCCTGGAGCTATTCCTAACCATAAACCCAAAGAGGTCAGGGAGAGGGTCTAGTTATTAGAACCCAGAAAGGGTTTAAAGAGGAACAACTGATAGGATCTATGACCTTAAAAGGGATGCAGCTAATTCATAACAATATGGCAGAGAAACACCTTCCCATCTCCTGCTGATACTTTCTATTGTAAAGGTTGGGCAAGCGTTGGAGGAAAAGACCACCAAGAGACTGTCTCATGCAACAGCAAAGGGTTTATTGGGGGTCCAGCATGCTGGGGCTCAGAGCTCACTTGAATAGAGCAAAGAGCCCTGAGAACAGCTTAAGCAGAGCTCATATACTTTCCTTGGAGAGGGCAGGGAGGGAAGTTACATTTTGCAGTTTGGCAGCTGGGGACAGCACATTCTGGGAACAAGATTAGCAAACAGTTCGCAGTTGGAGACAGCATATTCTGTTTTGTTAAACATATAGAAAAACGGAGTGACAAGTACCTATTTTATTAACCTTTCACTATTGACCAAGCCCCACAAAAATATGAAGGTCAAAGGAGCCATGGATGCTGATCATATGGGTATGATCTGTTCTAGGATACAGAACAGACAAAGGTAGAGATGGATATAGAGGGGAAAAGAGAGGAAATCTAGCAGTTACTAAAGTCAATGATAAAGTCAGGACTAAAACCTAGATCTTGAGTTCCAATTCAGTACTTTTTCCACTARGCAAAGTAAATGTCACTATGAATACACAATTTCTCAGTTCATCAACTAGTTCCATTGAGGACAGACTAAGCCTCTCTGTAGATGTAGTACAGAACAGATTTAATTACAATGTGGTAGTTGTGATAGGGGATACAAAAAAGTAAGAAGACTTTTGGTATTTTGGTCTCTATCTTCAAAAGAGTAATAATATTGTTGAGAAGAAACTTACACATATGAAATCACCAGTAAATATTTTAAAACACAAATAAATTATAGAAAAATCATGGTAGGGCAGGGCGTGATAGCACATACCTATAATTCTAGCAACTGCAGAGGTTGAAGTAGGAGGATCTCAAATTTAAGGCCAACTTCAGCAACTTAGTGAGACTCTAAATAAAAAATAAAAAGGGGGCTGGGGATGTGGCTCAAGCGGTAGCGCGCTCGCCTGGCATGTGTGCGGCCCGGGTTCGATCCTCAGCACCACATACCAACAAAGATGTTGTGTCCGCCGAGAACTAAAAAATAAATATTAAAAAAATCTCTCTCTCCCCCCCCCCCCCTCTCTCTCTCTCTCTCTCTCTCTCTCCTCTCTCATTCTCTCTTTAAAAAAAATAAAAAATAAAAAGGACTGGGGTGGTAAAGCATCCCTTGGCTTATTCCCCAGTATTGGGGGAAAAAAAGAAAGAAATGAAAAATATAGATAGAGATTACCTTATTCTGCTTCTTGTTTTATATTCATAGTTAAGGGCACAAAGTTAGTGCTGGTTTCAATACTGGGTAACTGGTTTTAAGCTCTCAAAGTCTATTCCTAGAAAGCTACTTTAGGAGAAAAATAATTAATATTTAACAAGTACTTTCTGTGTGCCTCAAACTTTAGCATGTCATTTAATGAGAAAATATGTTTTAGTTATTAATCCTAAATTTTAAAGTGAGGCAAAGTTCAAAAATTAAGTAACTTTCTCATGGTTAAACTAGGAGCTAGGATACGATCCCAGGAGTATTGCCTAGAAGTATTGCTCTTTGTACCATATTCACATACCAGAAGCAGCTTAAAAGCCGAAATCTTGGAAAGTTAGGAGCCTAATGTTCATGCCTCACAAGAAACATTAATTCATTGTTAAACTTGAGCAACTCACATCACCTTCACTAATCTGTATAAATAAAATAAAGATGACAAGGCCTGCTTTTGTCTCTGGGAATCACACAATGAAGTCCAACTATATATTTGTATGTATATATAATACTGAGCCCAGTGTCTTTTATACCTATTTCCCAAGTCTTGGAATTTTTATACTGTCCATTTCACTTTGCACCCTTATCTTCTTGCTCCAAGGCAACATCTCCAGTGAGCACAAAATAAAAAGAGAGAATGACAGAAAAAGTAAAATGAAACACTATCTTCCCTTTCACATTTGGTACAAATTGTATTAAATTTAAGAATAAGAGAGTGATATCATAATAGAATGAAATTTTTTAATTTTATAAATGAAAAGGCAAAATACTACAACTATCGAATTAACCCTGAAGCCACGTTGAATTCATATCTTGCAGATGAATTTTCTCAGTTCATCAACTAGTTCCATTGAGGATAGACTAAGCCTCTCTGTAGATGTAGTACAGAACAGATTTAATCATAATGATGGCAAAGGCTGGAAAGACTAAGCAAAGGAAGTGACTGTATCTGTTTCAATTTCTTTTTCTTCTTGGAAGCATACTTCATGAAACTTGACTAACTGTCCTAGCCAAAGGAGGTTAAAACTTTGTCTCAGAGAATCGTAGATTATTCTTATTTCTTCATACTGCAATATCCATGTCTCATGGAGAGGTCTGGCTAAACTAGGATATTTTTTGCAATAGCATTCAAAGTCCTTACTTTGGTCACATCTGTTACCTTTAGAGAATATTCTGAATTAGAAAGTGAGGCTCCCATGGCAACAGAGGAATTTCTGCAATAGAAATAATAATGGAACAGATAAGTTGTTCAGTCAGTACTCCAACTGGCACTTCACTTCATAGTTATTTCATGATTCAGAAACATGGGAAGGTAAGGACTCTGAACTATCATATTCCATAATAATAATTTTCATTAATTAATTACTTGAAACATCTAGTAGCTGAATCTAAAAAACAGTATACTTGATTTTATATCTGGAAATGTAAGTTTTAAGCTTCTTCCTTCTTTTACATGCATTTTCCCAAATTATAAATGAAAGATTCCCCTAGTAAGTTATAGGAATCCTATATATTTAAAAAATCACATAATAGTTTCAATTTCTTAATGGTAATATAATTTCAAAATAACTGAAAGAAGAGAGCAAAGGGGGGGGAAGAATGACTAAATGGCAATGGCTGGCAAGACTACCAAAGACTATAAAAAGGTTTAATATGTGCAAAAGATCCTGCTCATTTAAGACAGAACAAGAACCATTTTAGAAATGTTTTTAAACTGCAAAAATGATGACAGTACTTATGTATTAATCACAACATGATATCCATTCATTGATCATGGCATCAACAAACGTTTTTCTATTTGGGTAGTAAAGATTAATCTCATCCCTTCTTGTATGAGTCCAAGAACATTTTTACCGAAACCTCATTCCTGAGTCTCTGGAAGTCCGAGCAGAACAGTGGAATTCTGTAGCACCAGAACCCTCAAGGATCCTTTGTAGATTTCTGTCTGTTATGCCACCTCCTATTGAAAAGAACAAGTAATAGATTAAAAGAACAGAATCTGGCATAAAATTTAAAGAATAACAATGAGTGCTTATTCTATTTGAAAATCCCATTCTGAAATTTCTCGTTGATTCAAGAATTACTCTTTCCCTAAGCTAGAATGAAATTAAAAAGTAATGAAAGATGTATACTAGACTCTGGAGAATTGTTAGGGTTAAAGCCTATGTGATGAAATTACATGTATCGGTTGGTTTATATGAAAAAGCTAGACATTATTGATATTAAGTTTAAAAAGACTGCTCTGGGTCAAGGAAAAAATCATTCATTCCAGCCCTGCTCTTCCCTCAAACAAAATCAAATTAAAATGAAAGGTAAGGATAGCTTTGAGAAAAAAGATACAAAAGCACAACCAGAGAGATGCGTCTAAAGAGAGAACCCGTAAGATTTTCTCTCTGGCCAAGACTGAAAGCGTATACCGTGACTTCATGGGAAATGTCAATAAGGCAAAGTTTTACACAGTTTACTCATCACAATATTAACTTTCTGTTTCATTTCACAGAAGAATCTGACTCCATTTTATTATGATTACATGTTTTGATAAACAATCTTTAAAATATTTATTTATAAAAGTCATATTCTGAATTGGTACCAATAATTGCAAATATGAAGTTAGCTTATTCATCTTTATATTCATGTCTTCTGATATAGCGAATGTATTCAATAAACATTTCAAAATGACATTGTACTTTGTACCTCAAGCTATTCAAGTTGCTGAAATAATCTGTTTTTATATTTATATACTCTTTCAAACTTGTTAACTCGGCTTTTTTGTTTTTTGTTTGTTTTTGGTTAGTGGTCTATTCATATTGCTGAACCCTAGGAATTAGCAAGAACACAGACTAAGAAGTCAGTTGTAAAGGAATGCTGGCTTCACTTCTGTAGCTATTTGGAGTTGGGTGATCTTAAATAAATTATTTAAATCCACTTAGCCTCAACTTTTTCACCAACAAAAAGGATAATCCAGGGCTGGGGATATAGCTCAGTTGGTARAGTGCTTGCCTCAAAAGCACAAGGCCCTGGGTTCGATCCCCAGTACCACCAGAAAAAAAAAAAAAAAATCACAAGGAAGGATAATACTGCCTACCTCATGCGCTTGTAAGGATTAAAAGACAAATTATTTCCCTCTAACAAATAAAACTGAAACACAACACTCAATATATTCTCCAACACATAGGCTAACAAAGCTTTACAGTTAAAAGAGACCTCAAAGAATAATTAGTTCAATATTCCCTTCCTTATAAATGAGAAAACCAGWCCCTAAATATGTTGTAAGTTTCATTATATATGTCTTACTTATCTTTATACTTCCCAAGGATGAAAACTCATTAGGCTTTCGGATTGATTTATCTAAGAATTTTTTACATGCTGGTACTTATTTACATGAAATTCTGTGGGCTCCCCAAATAGAAGGATTACTTCATATTCATTCTATTTTCACATCTAACAATACATGTATAATTATAACTGACATAATTAATACTTCCTTAGTAAGGTTTGTTAATCTAGTCACGAATATTTCTGTACCTAAGACTATCAATTTCTAGAATAGTTGCTCATTTAACTCTATATCCCACATAATTCCTTGCACAAAGCAGATAACTTCATAATTACATATTCATCAAGTACTTGTGTAAAGAATTGTCTAAATCTGGTTATTAGTTGTCAAGGCTAAATACGTTTAGCCTTAAACAGAAAAGCATCAGACAGACTCAGTAAGTTTCTTTAATATTCCCTGATTAGTCTATAAAGGGTCTCAATTTGACAGATCATATATACTTTCTATCTGCTTGTTTCAGGGACTTACTGCAAGTGAAAAACTTCCTACTAACTGTTAATATCTTTACCTGGCCTATTTTAAAACTTGACCTTTATCTGGTTATCACCATTTTGAACCCTGGTCAGTCTGGGCATTACTGCTAGTAAGAGTCTAGAGACTGAATGCTTTCTGATGTGATCAGCTGTGAAGTACACTGAATCACCCATTATTCTTACCCAAATTTTAACCAGAATCTAATCAAGTCTTATGATTTAACTACCAGTTTATAGGGAATTTAGAAGCTACAAGAGCAAGCTTTAGCTTTGATATTATTTACAGTATCAAAAATAAACAATTCAATAAATATAGAAAGTAGAACACTCTACAGGGTAAGTATCCACTTTTTAAAAGTCATTTTTTTAAGCTGGGCTTGGTAGTGCATGCCTGTAATCCCAGTGGCTCGGGAGACTGAGACAGGATGATTATGAGTTTAAAGCCAGCCTCAGCAATGACAAGATACTAAGCAACTCTGTGAGACCCTGTCTCTAATTAAAATACAAAAAAATAGGGCTGGGGATGTGGCTCAGTGGTTGAGTCCCCCTGAGTTCAATTCCAGTATCCTGCCCCCAACAAAGTCATATTTTTAAATAAGAAGAAAAGGAAAAACTTCTATATTAAAAGATACTATAGAAAACAACCAAATGTAATGCTTGTTCCTTGACCAGATCCTGGTTTTGCACATATCAGTTATAAAAACCATTGTGGGGAAAACTGGAGAAAGGCAAGTATGGACTGGGTATTAAATGTTATTAAAGAATTAGTGTTCATTTTGATAGATGTATTATGTAATAATGAAATTGTGGTTATAATAAATGGGTCTTTCATAGAGACGCATAAAGAAAAAAATGTCATGATGTCTTTAAAATATCTCGGCGGACAAGAGGTATGGTTCAGTGGTAGCACTCTTGCCCAGAATAAGGCAGGCCCTGGGTTTGAGCTCCTGCACTAAGGGTAGTGGTGGTGGTGTAGGGATTAGTTCAGGATTAAAAGAAAAAAAGATGAGACAAATGTGGCAGAATAGTAAAATCTAAGAAATGACCGTGACTATTTATTGTTATTTTCTGTTGTTTTTATTTTGAGAAAATAATAAAAGAAAAAATTAAGAGCCTTTATATTTGTTTCACGCTGATTTGGGGTTGCTTATTCTAATTCTTTCAAAATTGCCTCATCTGTTCATTTCTAATGAGTCATTATGCACTTAATTGATTTTATGGTTATCATCATGAGCAGATGCTCCAATTATTTTGTTTAAAACAAAATATTTTGATGATCAGAGACTTTTCAGGAATTGAGGAAGTAGTATTAGTCCAACTTGGTATACCTCACCAGGGATGAACATACACATTCATAAAATTCTATATACTATAGGGAAGCAAACATGGGAGAAACCAGTCCTAATCTATTTCCTTATTTGCTCCTCAATGAGGTCATCCCTATTAGAGTGTTCTCCTTCCCCTAAAGTTTTATTCCAGCACCTATCTCCTAATCTTGAACATTTTAATCAAACTATTTATTCTTCTCTCTGAACATACTTTCAGATTTTCGTGCCCTTTTTGCTCTTCCTCCACTATAGCTTGGTGTTAGGCTAGTAGACAAGGAGATAAATAAATACCTGGCATTACCACAATCCTGCCTTTTGCCTGAAAAAAAAGAAAAAAATAAATAAGTAAATTGTAATATCTTTCTCTTTTTTTTGGAGGGGGTACTGGGAATTGAACTCAGGGGCACTCAATCACTATGCCACATTCCCAATCCTATTTTGTATTTTATTTAGAGACAGGGTCTCACTCTCAGTTGCTTTGTGCCTCCCTGTTTCTGAAGCTGGCTTTGAACTCGTGATCCTCCTGCCTCAGCCTCTCGAGCCACTGGGATCACAGTTGTGTGCCACCATGCCCAGCTATATCTTTTTCTTAATTGTGATAATAAGGCAGTAAGAAGAGAAAGATTTGAGTCAAGTATATTATTTTTTTTGGGGGGGGGATTTTATTTATTTTTATTTTTTATTTGTTGTTTTTAGATATACATGACAGTTCAGTGTACTTTGACATACTATACATACATGAGATACAACCCATTACAATTTGATCCCATTCTTGTGGTTGAACATGGTATGAAGTATATTCATACTGGTAGTATATTCATATATGAGGATAGGAAAGTTATGTCCAACTCATTCTACTATCTTTCCTATTCCCATCCCCCCTCCCTTCCCTTCATTCCCCTTTGTCTAATCCAATGAACTTCTATATTTCCCTCCCAACCCTCCCTTGTTATGGGTTAGCATTCACATATCAGAGAGAATATTCAATCTTTGGTTTTGGGGGACTGGCTTATTTCACCTAGCATATTCTCTAGTTCCATCCATTTACAGGCAAATGCCATAATTTCATTTTTCTTCATGTCTGARTAATATTTCATTGTTTCTATATACCACTTTTTTTTTCCTATCCATTCATCTGTTGAAGGGCACCCAAGTTAGTGCCATACCTTTGTTATTGTGAACTGAGTTGCTATAAACATTGATGTGGCAGCATCACTGTTGTATGCTGATTTTAAGTCCTTTGGGTTTAAGCTGTCAAGTATATTATTTTTAAAAATTACTATTAATGTCTAATTGTCAATAGATCTTCTCTTGGGGGAAGAATCTTGGAAAAGTAAGATGTCCAGCATAATAAGTTCTGTCAAGAAAGATTATTTTATTGTATTACTTTATAAACTCATACTATTATGAACACAAAGAATAAGAGGTTCCAAAACAAATACTGAATAATCACACCGCCTGAAGAAAAGCCTTACTTAAAAAAAAAAATACCTTATGCAATGGGATGAAAGTAGTTGAATTTAAACAAGATTTTATTAGAAAAGAAAACATAACATAATTTTAAGTTACTGGGGGAAAATCCACTTAAATCCTGCTATCAACTAAATTCTCTAGGTCCATTTAACTGAGACTACAGGAATTAATTTAATTGCTGATCATTCTGGAAAATAGGACCGAAATTATTATAAAACAATCATATCTCCCATATTTTCTCCTAAGGGCCTATTTGTCCTGCCATATAGTCACTTTTTCCACCATAAGAACCTTCTCTTCCTCCTTTTTCACCTATTAAGATGGTTTATAATATAACCACCAAATTCTAACCATCACATTGAGTTATATTTCTTTGTTAACTTCCACATACACATAAGAATATATACACTTAGGTATGCAATCCAGATTCATTATTTCTCCTGCTAATCTGTATTTAATCAGTTTAATTTGCAAGCCCCTGGGAACTAAACACAAAAGAGTACAAGAGAGGGGATCCAACATGGCGGCCGGCGAGGAAGCAGCGACTCCAACGTCTCCACTTTAACGGGATATGAAAGACTCATCGAAACAGCTGCAGCCTAGCTACGGAGGAACTTCTAGCATAACTTCCTTAAGAGGAGAGCTGCCGTGAACTGGTAGGTT